GTCACATGATCAGGAAAAACTCCTGGGCCTATGTATGCGGATACAATATAATGTTGAGTATACTGTATGTCCCTCAAACTCAACTCTGGACCTCGAAGCCAGTTCCACTGCATTTTTTCATTGTTCCCCTCTAATCAGGGACTGATTTAGACCTGGGACACCAGGTGTTTGCAATGAATGATCAGGTAGAACAGAAAACCAGCGGGCTCCGAACTTCGTAGGGTGAACTGAGTACCCCTGCTGTATGTATTTTGATGTTGTGTATTCTGCTGTCCATGTTTGTCAGCTGCGGAGGATAAGATGGGCTGGCATGCCAAGACCCTGCCCAAAGACATGGCTGAGGGAGTTGTGAAGGATCTGCAGGCACGCATCACGAACAGCAGCAAGCGCATGTACCCTGCCACACCCCTGGAGGACGCCCCACCAGTCAGCCTGCGCAACGTCCGCATGCCCAGCGCACCTGCCTACAAGCAGGGAGAGAAGGTAACACATAGACAACACCTCACACGAAAAAAAAAACCCCCCCCGGGGGAAATGGTTTTTCCCCTTTTTTTAAAAAATTTTAACCCCAAAAAACCCCTTTTTATTGGGGCAAAAAGGGGGGAAAAGGGCTCTCCCCCCCCCCCCTTTTTTTTTGGGTTTTTGGGTAAACCCGGGGGCGGGGTTGGCCCCCCTTTTTTTACCCCCGGGTTTTTTTCCCCCTTTTGGGCCCCCTTTTTTTTTTGGGGCCCTTTTAAACCCCAAAAAATTTTTTATTTTTAAAAAAATTTTGGTTTTTTTTGGTTCCCAAAAAAAACCCCCCCAATTTTTAAAAAAAAAAAAATTTGTTTTTAAAAAAATTTTTGGCCCCCGGCCCCCCCTTTTTCCCCCCCTTTTTTTTTTTTGGGCCCAAAAAAAAAATTTTTTTTGGAAAAAATTTAAAAAAAAGGGGCCCCCAAAATTTAAAATTAACCCCCCTTTTTTTTTTTTCCCCCCCCCTTTTTTCCCCCTTTAAAAAATAAAACCCCTGCCGGCGGGGGGAAAAAAAGGGTTCCCCCCCCAAAAAAGGGGGGCCCCCCCCCCCCCCCGGGGGGAAACCCCCCCCCCCAAAAATTCCCTGGGAAAAAAAAAAAAACCCCCCCCCCCCAAAACCCCAAAACCCCCAAAATGGGGAAAATTTTTTTTTTAAAAAAAAAAATTTTTTAGCCCCAAAATTTTTTTAAAAAAAAAACCCGGGGGGGCCCCCCCCCTTTTCCCGGGTTTAAAACCCAAAAAAAAAATTTTAAAAAAAAAACCCCCCAAAAAATTTTTGGAAAAATTTTTTCCAAAAAAAAAAGGCCCTTAAAAAAAACCCCCTCCAACCCAATTTTTTTTTAAAAACCCCCCTTTTCCCCCCTTTCCTTTTAAAACCCAAAAAAAAAGGGGTTTTTAAAAAAACCCCCCCTTTTTTTTTTAATTCCCAAAAAAAATTTTAAACCCCTTAAAAAATTTTTAAAAAATTTTTTTTAAAATTTTTTTTAAAAGGTTTTTTTTTTTTTTTTAAAAAATTTTTTAAAAAAATTTTTTTTAAAAAATTTTTTTTTGGGGCCCCCCCAAAAAAGGGGGGGAAAAAAAAAAAAAAAAAAACCCCCCCCGGGGGGGAAAAAACCCCGGGGGGGGGAAAAAAAAACCCCAATTTTCCCCCCCGGGGGGAAAAAACCCCCCCCCCCTTTCCCCCGGGACCCCCCCCGTCCGGGTTTTTTTGGGTTCCGGGGGGGGGTTTGGGGTTAAAACCAAAAAATTTTTTTTGGGAAAAATTGGGTTTTTTAAGGCCAAAAAAAAAAATTTTTTTTTTAAAAAAAAAACCCCTGGGGGGGAAAAAAGGGGGGGTTTTTAAAAAAAAAACGGGGGGGGGAAAAAAAATTTTGGGGGGAAAAAAAAAAGGGGGGAAAACCCCCCCAAAAAAAGAAAAAAGGGGCCCGGGGTTTTAAAGGGAAAACCCCCCCAAAAAAAGGGGGGAAAAACCCCCCGGGGGGGGTTTTGGGGGAAAAAAAACCCCCGGGGGCCAAAGGGGTTCCCCCAAAAAAAATTTGGGGGGGGGGGCCCCCCAAAAAAAAACCCCCCAAAAAAAAAAAAAAGGGGGCCCCCCAAACCTTTCCCCCCCGGAAAAAAAAAAACCCCCTTTTGGGGTTTCCCCCTTTTAAAAAAAAAAATTTTTTTAAAAAAACCCCTTTTAAAAATTTTTTTTTAAAAAAATTCAAAAAAAAAAAAAAAAATTTTTTTTTTTTTTTTTTTTTAAAAATTTTTTTTTTAAAAAAAAAAATTTTTAAAAAAAAAAAAAATTTTTTTTTTTTTTTTTTTTTTTTTTAATTTAAAAAAAAAGGCCCCCCTTTTTTTTTTAAAAAATTTTGGGGGTTTTTAAAAACCGCCCCCCCCCCAAACCCCCCAAACCCCCCCCCCTTTTTTTTTTTTTTGGGGGGTTTTTTTTGGCCGCCTCCCCGGGCCCCCCCCAAAAAAAATTTAATTTTTTTTGGGGGGGGGAAAAAAAAGGGTTTTGGGGGAAAAAAAAATTTTAAAAAACAAAAAATTTTTCTTTTTTTTTTTCCAAAATTTGGTTGATTTTTTTTTTTTAAAAAATTTTTAAATTTTTTTTTGGGGGTTTTTTTTTAAAAAAAGGGGGGGGGTTTTACAAACCCAAAAAACCCCCCAAAAACCCCCCCCCCCCCCCTTTTTTTTTTTAAAATTTTGGGGGGGGGAAAAAAAAACCCCAAACCCAACAAAAAAAAAAAGGGGGGGGCCCCCCGGGGGGGTTAAAAAAAAAAAAGGGGGGGAAAAATTAACCCCCACAAACCCAAAAAATTTTTTCCCCAAAAAAGGGGGCCCAAAAAATTTTTAAAAAAAACCCCTTTAAAAAAAAAAGGTTTGAAAAAAGTTTTAAAAAGGGGTTTTTCCCCTTTTTTTTTCCCAAAATTTTTTTTCCCAAAAAAAAAATTTTGGGGCCCCAAAAAAAATTTTTTTTTTTTAAAAAAATTTTTTTTTTTTTTCCCCTTTTTTTTTCCCCTTTTTTTCCCAAAAAAATTTTTTTTTTTTTTTAAATTATTTAAAAAAAAAACCCCCCGGGGGTTTTCCCCCCTTTTTTTTCCCCTTAAAAAAAAAACCCCCTTTTTTTTTTTTTCCCCCCCGGGGCCCCCCCTCTCAGGCCCGGGGGGGCCCGGGGTCCATATTTTTTTGGGGGGAAACCCCCCCAAAAAGGGGGTTATCTGACCCCTGCCCTTCCTTTATCACAATCTTTCCCTGTTTCCTTTCATTGTCCTTTCTTTTAAATACACTTTTTTAAGGTTGATTGGCTGAATCAAACATTTTTTTTCTCGCTCATGCACTGGGCTTTGGTTTTAAATGAATAATGCATGTTTGGGCCATCCCTAATGTAACACTGGGACTGGAGGGGGAGGGGGGAAAAGAGGCTGAGAATTTGGTCCATCCCCTAAGGGAAAACTGGGGGACTTTGGAAGGGTGAGACTGAGAGGGGTGGACATTAAATACTTTCCCGTATCCCCCCCTCCCCCCCTTTCCCCCCCCCCTCCCTTCCCTCCCCCCCCTCCCCCCCAAAACCCTCCCCGCCCTTTTTGGGGGGCCCCCCCCCAAAAAAAAAAGGGCCCCGGAATTTAAAAAAAAACCCCCCCCCCCCCCTTTTTCCCCCTTCCCCCTTTTTTTCCCCCTCCCTCCCCTCCCCTTTCCCCCCTCCCTCCCCCGCCCCTTCCCCTCCCCCTCCCCCCCCCCCCCCCCCCCCGCCCCTCCCCCCCCCCCCCCCCTTTTTTTTTGGGGCCATTTTTCCCCTTCCCCCCCCCCCCCCCCCCCCCCCCCCCCCCTCCCCCCCTCCCCCCCCCCGCCCCTTCCCCCCCCCCAAAAGCCCCCCCCCCCCCCCCCCCCCTCCCCCCCCCGCCCCCCCCCCCCTCCCCCTTCCCCCCCCCCCCCCCCCCCCCCCCCCCCCCCCCCCCCCCCCTCCCCCCCCGCCCCCCCCCCCCCTCCCCCCGCCAACCCCCCCGGCCCCCCCCCCTCCCCCCTGGGCCCTTCCCCCCCCCCCCTCTCCCCCCCCCTTTCCCCTCCCCCGCCCCCCCCCCCCCCCCCCCCCCCCCCCGCCCCCCCCCCCCCCCCCCATCCCCCCCCCCCCCCCCCCCCCCCCCCCCCCCCCCCCCCCCCCCCCCCCCCCCTCCCCCCCCATTCTTCCCTTCCCCCCCTCCTTTTTTTTCTACATTTTAAAAATAATAGTGAAAAACATCCAAAAATTGAAATAACATATATGGAAATGTAGTAACCAAAAAAGAGTTAAAAAACAAAAAAATTTTTTATATTTTAGATTCTTAAAATAGCCCCCCTTTTCCTTTATGAAAAGCTTTAAAATAATGAAAATTCTTCCATACAATGACAGAGTCAATTTTAAAAGGAGTTTTTGTCCCCCTTTTGTCCAGGTTTGAAATAGTGGGGAATAGGGAAAAGGGATAATGCCTCTGTTGGTTTCTGCATAGAATATGAATGAGTCGATTTACCGTGGGAGGGGGAGCAAAGGGATCGGAGAGGGCTGGAGGGGCCGGAAAAAGACAACGCATTAAGAGGGTGATTCCTCACATATTGGGACTATAACTCACGAGTGGGGCACAAATTGGGGCCCCCCCCTTGTCCGGTTTGGCCGGTTTGGAGGCCGTCTTTTAAATAAAAATTTTTGGTTTTTAAATGATTTCCTTAAAAAAAGAAAAAAAACCCCCTGGCTTTTTGGGCCCGGGCTGACCTTTTTCAAATTCTGGAGGCGTAACCCTCCCCTTTTATTGGGGATTTGGGCCCCAGTCAAACGTACCCCTGGAGAACTACTTTACCTTTGGATTTCCCCCGGGCTAGAATACAATAAAAATTTTTCCCATGTTTAAATTTTGTGGGTTCCGCTCAAAATTCAGACGTATGCAGCTGCCGCCGGGTTTTTTGTTCCCTTAACCTCCTACATGGGGTAGTCTTTTGCAGTGCAGGAAACCCCCATTTCACATTTGTACAGGGGGCCCTCCTTTAAATTTTTAGGGCAGGAGGGCTTTTTTTGCTTTGGGGTCTTTCCCCCAAAAATTTGGGGTTTTTTAAAAAAAACATGACTTTGGGTTTTAAATGCGGACTGTCCCCCCCCTTTAAATTTGGGTATTTTAAACCATTTGGGGGAAAATGTTTAGGGAAATTTCAAAAAACTTTTTTGTTTCAAGTCCCCCCATTTTAGGGGGCCAAAAGTAAATTTGGGGCAAAAATTTAAATTAAATGTTAAATTTAAAAAAGTAAAAAAAGTTTTGGGATTTATTTTCCCATTCATCGCATGCAATGACTACATCAAGCTTGTGACTCTACAAATTTTTTAATGTTTGCTGTTTGTTTTGGGTTTTGTTTCAGATTTTTTTGTCCAATAAAATGAATGGTTTAAAAAATGATTGTGTTTATTTTTTAGTCAAATTATTTTAAATAAGAATATAATTGTTTTAAAAAACTTTTTACATTAAGGGGGATGTTTCCATGATTAGGGGGAAACCTAAAAAGTGTGAAATAAATTTTGATTTTTGAAAGTTACAGATGCACAGGGGGGGGAAGAGGGGGGGATGGTTCCCCCTGAATTTTGCCTGCGTCTTGAATAGACCCTATTTTTTTTGTAACTTTTAACCAGGGGGCACACAAAGTTAAAAGCACATATAGGGAATATGGGGCCTTTTTGGGGCCCTCCCTTGTAAAAGAATAGAGAGTGACTTGGGATGTTGAAAAGGAGAGAGAGGAGACACACGAGAAAGGGGGAAAAATGAAATTCTTCCATACAATGACGGAACAATAAAAGGAGTTCTGTCCTCTTCTCCAGGTTTTTTAGTGGGGAAAAGGGAAAAATGGGATAATAGTCCTTTGGGCCGGGGAAGGGTATAGAATTTTGGAAAAAGAGTCGATATTTTCAGTTTAGGAGAGGAGCAAAGGGATCGGAAGGGGGGCTTGGAGCAGGGAAAAGACAATGCTAAAACTGATTTCCCCACATTGGTATTATGCTCCTGGCTTTTTTGGCTGACTGTTCTCAACCCACTTTTTCATAACTTTGGAGGTGGAACCCTCCCTTTGATTGAGATTGGCCCCAAACAGTAAACGTACCCATGGAAAAATTTCCCTTTTTCCCTTTTGGGTCCCTTGGCATAGGGGATAAAATAAATATTGTTCTATGTTTAAATTTTGTGGTTTCCCCTAACTTCAGAATTTCTGCAGCGGCAGGGATTGTGTTCCAAATAACCTCCTTTCATGGCTAAATCCCCTGCAGGTTTCAGGCCCCCAAAAACCCTTAAAAACAAATGCCCCCGTAATTTTATGACAGAGAGGGCCCCTTTTTGTTTTGGGTCTATACCCCCAAAAATTTGGGAAATTTTTTAAAAAAAAATGACTTTGGGGGTTAAAAAGGGGGGACTGTAAACCCTTTTTTTGAGGGGATTTTCACCTAAGGGGTGAACTGTTTTGAAATTAAAAAAAATTTTTGTACATAGTCCCCCCATTTTGGGGAAAACCCCAAAAAAATTGGGGGCAAATTCCCCTTTAAATTTTAAATTAAAGTATTTTAAACCTTTCCTTAAAAAAAATTTTTATTTTTCTCCCTAATAAAAAACCCCAAAAGGGGACCACCCCAATTTTTAAAGTTTTTCCCCCCCTTTTTTTGGTTATGTTCGAAATTTTGGTCCCTTAAAATTTGGGAAAAATGGTTTGTTTTAGGAGGCACTTATTTTAATTAAGAAAACATTTTTTAAAAAACCCTTTTCCTTAATGGGTTCCATGGTTATGGTAACCCCCCAAAAACCCAAAACCCCCATAGTAAAAATTTCCCCCAAAACAACCCAAAAAAGGATGGCCCCAATTTTCCCGTGAACCCCCCTTTCCCTTATTTTTATTTTAACCCAGCCTCCACAAAGGGGGAAAGCCTAAAGGGAATTTGGGGCTTTTGGGGACCCCCTTTCCCTTTTCATTACTTTTACTTTGGTTTTTTAACAAAAGGGGGAACCCCAAAAAATCCCTTTCTTCCCCCCTACACCCGACCCTTTTTAATTTAATGGAGCTGTCCCTTAAACAGGGGGAAGGAATGGTTATCCCCCTTCTGGTTTTTCCTCTTAAAAAGAAAAGGCCATCTTCAGGTTTTAGGGGAGGGGCCCAAAGGGATTTTGGAGTCTGGCCAGGAAAAGCGCCTAAGGGCGACCTCCTCCCCCCCAGTTTTTTCTCCTGTCCCTTTTGGAAAATTGGGCCCCCAAACCCCTTTTCCCCTTTTGGATGTTCCCTTTGTTGAATTGGGTTGCCTCTCTCCCCTGGCTTTTATTTGCCCTTTTTTTGTATTTGGCCTTAAAAAACCCTTAAAAGTTTTAAACCTTTTGGTTTCCCCTTAATTGGGTTAAAAAAAATTTAAATATTTTTTCATTTTCCTTACCTTCCCAAATATTGGAGGGGGGGCCACCAAAACCCCAAATAAGGGCCCCCCCCTTAAATTTTTAAAGAAAAACCTTTTTTTTTTGGCCCCCGTTTTTTTTTTTTTTTTTTTTTTTTTTTTTTTTTTTTTTTTTTTTTTTTTTTTTTTTTTTTTTTTTTTTTTTTTTTTTTTTTTTTTTTTTTTTTTTTTTTTTTTTTTTTTTTTTTTTTTTTTTTTTTTTTTTTTTTTTTTTAAAAAAAAAAAAAAAAAAAAAAAAAAAAAAAAAAAAAAAAAAAAAAAAAAAAAAAAAAAAAAAAAAAAAAAAAAAAAAAAAAAAAAAAAAAAAAAAAAAAAAAAAAAAAAAGACCCCCCTTTTTACAACCCCCCCCCCTTTTTGGGAATTTTAAAATTTTTTTTTTTTTTTTTAAAAACCCCCAATTTTTTTTATTTTTTTCGGTTTTTTTTTTTGTTTGGTGGTTTTTTTCCCCCAAAAAAGGAAGAAAAAAAAGGAAAAAAAGGCCAAAACTTTTTAAAGGGGTTGGGTCTAAGGAAGGGACCCTGGCCCCAATTGGTGGCTGACTAAATACTTTTTTCCCCCACTGTACATCAAACACATGGTTTCCAGGTGTTTGATGTCATTCCATTTGCTCCGTTCCAGGCCATTATTATGAGCCGTCCTCCCCTCAGCAGCCTCCACTCCACCTCACCATATACAGTACATCTGGGATTGCGCTCATTCCAATCACAGAGTTGTTGACATTATTGACTGCACTGACACTTGGGACTCAGCCCATAGTCCCAAACAAGATATCATAAAATAAACTGTCACAACTTTGAGTACTGTCAACTAAAAGGTGGTATGATGATGCATAAATAACAGGTAGACTTATTGGCTTATTGATTGCTTATTATTATTATTAATGACTGGTTGATTTATTGATTGAATAGTTGTCTTTCTACAGATTTCCACCAGGAAGGCCTATGGCATGGCCCTGGCTAAACTGGGTCGTTACAACGAGCGTGTGGTGGTCCTGGACGGAGACACCAACAACATCACCTACTCAGAGATCTTCAAGAACGAACACCCCAACCGCTTCGTGGAGTGTTACATCGCTCAGCAGAACATGGTAGGAAATTAACCCTAACCCTAACTCTCACCCTAACGCTCTTGAGTTTATCGTGGTCACAGATGATGTGGTCAGGATCAGGAGAAACCTATTGGAACTAAGTATGACCACTCTACAAACACAGACAAACACGCTCTATGACCTCACCAAGCTTTAAAAAGACGACCTGTCCTCAACATTTAAATGTTTGTAAAAAATGTCATACGAATCTATCCAGAAACGTAGAGATGTACTCAGATTAAAAGAAGAAATACAATTGCAGCAGCATTTGTTGGCTCAGTTTAGCTGTCCTCTACTTACGCCTCTCTCTCTGATGCTAAACCGACTGCCCTGTCCCCAGACCTGGGTTCGAATATTATTTGAAATCTTTTAGATCCTTTATTTATTTATAATATTTGAACGCAGATCTGCCTGTCGCTATCGTCTCTGATGCTGATTCGCTATAAGAAAACGCCTCTCTACTTCTGTTCAGACCTCTGACTCGCTGAGCGAATTCCCTCTCTCTCAGGTCTGATTGGGTGGCCTGTGTGGTCCATATACGGTTAGTGCTGCGGACCCCAGCACACATGGATACCAGAGTCTGCATGGGTTCGAATCTGACCCATGCCCTTCTGACTCACAATCTTTCCTTGTCCTCTTCATTGTCCTTTCTCATTAAATACACTTTTTTAAGGTCTGATTGGCTGAATCAAACATTTTTTTATCTCGCTCAGTGCTACTGAGGCTGGTCTAGTGAATAATGCATGTAGGTCCATCCATAATGTAACACTGGGACTGGAGGGAGAGGCAGAGAGGCTGAGATATAGGTCCATCCATAATGTAACACTGGGACTGGAGGCTGAGAGGCTGAGAGGCTGAGACATGACCTACTTACAGTATGCCTCCCTCCCTCCCTCCCTCCCTCCCTCCCCCTCCCTCCCTCCCTCCCTCCCTCCCTCCCTCCCTCCCTCCCTCCCTTCCGCCATGCTCCCTCCCCCTCCCCCCTCCCTCCCTCCTCCCTCCCTCCCTCCCTCTCCTCCCTCCCTCCCTCCCCTCCTCCCTCCTCCCTCCCTCCCTCCCTCCCCCCCCTCCCGCCCTTCCGCCTCTCCCTCCCTCCTCCCTCCACTCCTCCCTCCCCCTCCCTCCCTCCTCCCCTCCCCTCCCTCCCTCCCTCCCATCTCCCTTCCTCCCCCACGCCCTCCCCATCTCCCCTCCCTCCCCCTCCCTCCCATCCCTTCCGCCATGCTCCCTCCCGCCCTCCCTCCCTCCCTCCCTCCCTCCCGCCCTCCCTCCCTCCCTCTCCCCCTGCCCTCCCTCCCTCCCTCCCTCCCCCCTCCCTCCCCTCCCTCCCTCCCTCCCTCCCTCCTCCCCCCTCCCTCCTCCCTCCCTCCCCCCTCCCCCTCCCTCCCTCCCTCTCCCTCCCTCCCTCACCCCTCCCCAACCCCACCCCCCCCCCCTCCCTCCCACCCTTCTGCCATTCTCCCTCCCTCCCTACTATTTTCTACATTGTAGAATAATAGTGAAGACATCAAACTATGAAATAACATATATGGAATCATGTAGTAACCAAAAAAGAGTTAAACAAATCAAAATATGTTTTATATTTGAGATTCTTAAAATAGCCACCCTTTGCCTTGATGACAGCTTTGCACATAATGAAATATTCTTCCATACAATGACAGGAGTCAATAACAGGAGTTCTGTCCTCTTCGTCCAGGTTAGAAGTAGTGGGGAATAGGGAAATGGGATAATAGTACCTCTGTCTGGTACTGCTATAGAATATGAATGAGTCGATATTACAGTGAGGAGAGGAGCAAAGGGATCGGAGAGGGCTCTGGAGACAGGAAATGACAACGCATAAGAGACTGATTCCTCACATATGGTACTATAAGCTCACGAGTGGTGCACAATTGGCCCAGCGTTGTCCGGGTTTGGCCGGTGTAGGCCGTCATTGTAAATAAGAATTTGTTGTTAACTGACTTGCCTAGTTAAAAAAAGAAAAAAAGCTCCTGTGCTTTTGGACTGACTGACTTTTACATAACTTCTGGAGGCGTGAACCCTCCCTTTGATTGAGATTGGCTCAGCAGTCATCGTACCCATGGAGAACTCACTTGACCCTTTGGATCCTCCGGTCATAGAGATACAATAAATATTGTTCTATGTAATTCTGTGGTTCCGCTCAACTTCAGAAGTACTGCAGCTGCAGCGGATTTGTGTTCAGTAACCTCCTACATGGCTAAGTCTCTGCAGGTGCAGGACCACCATACACATTAAGTACAGTGCCCTCCGTAATTATTATGACAGAGAGGGCTTTTTCTGCTTTTGGCTCTATACCCCAAAAGTTTGGATTTTAAATAAAACAATGACTTTGAGGTTAAAGTGCGGACTGTCACCTTTAAGTTGAGGGTATTTTCATCCATATTGGGTGAACTGTTTAGAAATTACAACACTTTTTGTACATAGTCCCCCCATTTTAGGGAACCAAAAGTATTGGGACAAATTCACTTATATGTATATTAAAGTAGTAAAACGTTTAGTATTTATTCCTATATTCATCGCATGCAATGACTACATCAAGCTTGTGACTCTACAAATTTGTTGAATGTATTTTCTGTTTGTTTTGGTTATGTTTCAGATTATTTTGTACCCAATAGAAATGAATGGTAAATAATGTATTGTGTCATTTTGGAGTCACTTATTGTAAATAAGAATATAATATGTTTCTAAACACTTTTACATTAATGTGGATGCTACCATGATTATGGATAATCCTAAATGAGTCGTGAAATAATTATGAGTGAGAAAGTTACAGATGCACAGGGAGGAAGAGGAGGATGGTCCTCCTGAATTTTGCCTGCGTCTTGAATAGCACCCTATTCCCTTATAGTATACTTTTAACCAGGGTGCACACAAAGTAATGCACTATATAGGGAATATGGTGCGTTTTGGGACACATCCCTTGTAAATGAATAGAGAGTGACTTGGTATGTTGAGAGCGAGAGAGAGAGAGACACACAGAGAAGGAGAATAATGAAATATTCTTCCATACAATGACAGGAATCAATAACAGGAGTTCTGTCCTCTTCATCCAGGTTACTTAGTGGGGAATAGGGAAATGGGATAATAGTACCTCTGTCTGGTACTGCTATAGAATATGAATGAGTCGATATTACAGTGAGGAGAGGAGCAAAGGGATCGGAGAGGGCTCTGGAGACAGGAAATGACAATGCATAAGAGACTGATTCCTCACATATGGTATTATAAGCTCCTGTGCTTTTGGACTGACTGACTTCTCACCTACTTTTACATAACTTCTGGAGGTGTGAACCCTCCCTTTGATTGAGATTGGCTCAGCAGTCATCGTACCCATGGAGAACTCACTTGACCCTTTGGATCCTTCGGTCATAGAGATACAATAAATATTGTTCTATGTAATTCTGTGGTTCCGCTCAACTTCAGAAGTACTGCAGCTGCAGCGGATTTGTGTTCAGTAACCTCCTACATGGCTAAGTCTCTGCAGGTGCAGGACCACCATACACATTAAGTACAGTGCCCTCCGTAATTATTATGACAGAGAGGGCTTTTTCTGCTTTTGGCTCTATACCCCAAAAGTTTGGATTTTAAATAAAACAATGACTTTGAGGTTAAAGTGCGGACTGTCACCTTTAAGTTGAGGGTATTTTCATCCATATTGGGTGAACTGTTTAGAAATTACAACACTTTTTGTACATAGTCCCCCCATTTTAGGGGACCAAAAGTATTGGGACAAATTCACAGTATTGGGACGCATCCCTTGTAAATGAATAGAGAGTGACTTGGAAGATGTCACCTTTGGCTTCATAAAAAATAATTTCCATCCATTATTCTCCCTAACTAATCTCCCCAAAGTCACCAGCCGCCACTGTTATCGTATGATGTAACCCCGTCTTCCCCTCCTCCCTCTAGGTGAGTGTTGCGACTGGCTGCGCTGCCCGTGAGAGGAACGTTGTGTACGCCAGCACCCTGGCCTCCTTCGTCACCCGCGCCTACGACCAGCTCCGCATGGCTGCCATCTCAGAGAGCAACATCAACCTGTGCGGCTCCAACTGCGGCCTGTCCATCGGTGAGCCTGTCTGTCACCCCTTCATCCACCCCAAACACCCTCACTCCACGCCACTCACACAACCTCCCACCATCACCACCATGAACAGTAACCTGCAACCTACCACCTCACAACCCCACCCTTTCCCCAGTGACCCCACTCCCTCTCTCACTCTGCACTCTTTCTATTGGCTCCTCAAGTCAACACAGCCTCAAATGGTCTGAATGCCTAACGTGACTGTCCTCCATGTGTGGTTGATCCAAGTTCCGCTTTTTCTTTCTCTCTCTCTCCACTTCTGTGTTTTCCTCCTCACCTCTTTACCCCCTGAGATCCCCTAGCCTCCCTCTCTCCTCCCCCTCCCTGACCCCTGACCCTGTCTGTCCTGGACGCTGTCACCTTCACCGGAAGACCTGGTATCCCTCTCCTCTGTTAGTTCCTCAGGTACACTGCATGCCACTCTCTCCGTCTGTCTGTCTGACTCTCCTACTGTCTGTCTGCACACCTGCGTGCCACTCTCTCCGTCTGTCTGTCTGTCCTACTGTCTGTCTGTCCTACTGTCTGTCTGCACACCTGCCTGCCACCCTCCCCGTCTGTCTGTCTCTGTCTGTCCTACTGTCTGTCTGCACACCTGCCTGCCACCCTCTCCGTCTGTCTGTCTCTGTCTGTCCTACTGTCTGTCTGCACACCTGCATTGCACTCTCTCCGTCTGTCTGTCCTACTGTCTGTCCTTTTGTCTGCATTCCTGTCTGGCCTTATACACCTGCATGCCTGTCGGTCCACCTGGCCTTTCGCTTTATATTGGGTTGAAATAGTATTTGAAATATTTTTTAACATTTTCTTGAGCCTCCCTGGAGTATCGGATGGATGTGGTTTTCACCAGGCAAGCTCAATGAAGCACATCTAAAGTAATTGAAAAACAACAAATACTGTTTGCTTTCTATTACATTTTACAACATTTTGGAATTAAATTAATCTAACTATATGAGTATGTGTGTGTTCCAGGAGAGGACGGGCCATCTCAGATGGGTCTAGAGGACATGGCCATGTTTAGGGCCATCCCCACGGCAACCATCTTCTATCCCAGCGATGGCGTTTCTATTGAAAAGGCAGTGGAGCTGGCCGCCAGCACAAAGGTACTTATTATATCCTCCTGCCAAAATGTTATTGGTCCTTAACTCCAAACCCCCAAAATGCAATTGGTTCTTATCCCCATACCCCCAAAATGCTATTTGTCCTTATCTCCATACCCCCAAAATGCTATTGGTTCTTATCCCCTCCCACTATATGTTATTTGTCCTCCATTAATGTATCCCCCCCCACCCCTGCCCCACCCCAACACCAGGGGATGGGCTTATTACAATGTAATACCTTTTTACAATGTATTCCAATACATATTGTATTATATTATATTCTTTTTCTTAGGGTGTTTGCTACATCAGAACCAGCCGCCCCGAGAATCCCATAATCTACAGCAGCAATGAGGACTTCCATGTTGGACAGGCTAAGGTGAGTACCACTCAGCTCTGAAATATTTTCTACATTACGTTAACTACACAGACTAATCACAGCCTTAACTAAACCACTTTAGTTTCCCTTCCTATTTCAGGACATGATATGATTAGTAAAATGATTAGTTTAATCAGTTGTACAGCATCCATATTAGGAACTACTGTATCTCACTGAGAACGTTTTGTCTGACAACCGAAATAGTTCCTACTATGGATGCCGTACATTTGGTTGAGTGGCTGGAACACAAGCCTGCAGACAGACAGGGTTGTGTTCTAGTGGTATAAACAATTAATCTCTCATCCAATAGTCTAGAGCAGGAAGAACTGTATGAGATGTGCTAGAGCCTTGCTGTTAACCCTTCCCTGTCCATCTCAGGTGGTGTACCAGAGTGCGGAGGACAAGGTGACCGTAATCGGAGCTGGGATTACTCTGCATGAGGCCATGGCTGCAGCTGAGATGCTCAAGAAAGGTACAGTACAACTACAGCCAGATCAATGATCTAACTATGTGGGTGTGGAGAAAGACTTGGATCCCGGGAGAGAACTTTATCTGAGTTTGATTACTCCTGACTGGGGCAATGCTCTCTTTTCTGCATGCGCTAATATTGGCTCCATGCACTAATGCGCTGCTATTTAATTCAATCAGTTCATTAGTGTTGGCGCACAACATATTATTCTATATCCGATAAGTGTTAGACTTTCTCAATTAGATGTTCAAGCTTATCCACATTAGAAAGCTTTATCCCTCTCTCAATATTGGAACCTCATTGATTTAAGGATCAGGTTTTAGAGTCATTCTCTGTGTAGCTGACTAGGTCTTGTTATTGTTTCTCCACTGAAACACTACTCAAGGATCCACGATTCCAGTAACTCCAGTAACAAATTCCCAGGTTTTCCCAAAATCCTGGTTGAAGGATTCCAGATTTCCTGCTTATTCATTTCTGATTCCGTGAATCTTCCAAACAGGATTTCTGAAAAACCTGGGAATTTTGCAACCCTATGCTCTACTGTTGATTAACACTATGTTTCCCACCTTGTTGTTTTCCCAGAGAGGATCTTCATCAGGGTGATCGACCCGTTCACCATCAAACCCCTGGACTCCAAGACCATCATAGAGCACGCCCGCCAGACCAGGGGCCGCATCCTCACCGTGGAGGACCACTACTATGAAGGTACGCTTTCTCTGACCAGGAAGTTAGAGAGGGACCAAACACCAGGAAGTTAGAGAGGGACCAAACACCAGGAAGTTAGAGAGCGACCAAACACCAGGAAGTTAGAGAGCGACCAAACACCAGGAAGTTAGAGAGGGTCTGTCACGATCGCTTACAGATGGGACGGACCAAGGTGCAGCGTGATATGCATACATGTTTATTAACGAATAAACACAACGACAAAACAATAAACAAACGATACGTGAAGTCCAAAGGTAGCGCAATACAACATACCTTAACACGGAACAAGATCCCACAACTAACTAGTGCCAAAAGGCTGCCTAAGTATGGTCCCCAATCAGAGACAACGAGCGACAGCTGCCTCTGATTGGGAACCACACCGGCCAACATAGAAATAGACATACTAGATACTACACCATAGAAAATCAACATAGCAAAACACAACACAGAAAATACACACCCTGACTCAACAAATACGAGTCCCCAGAGTCAGGGCGTGACAGTACCCCCCCCCCCAAAGGTGCGGACTCCGACCGCACAACATAAACATCACAGGGTAGGGGCCGGGTGGGCATTCCGCCTCGGAGGCGGATCCGGCTCAGGGCGTGACGACCACTTACTCTCCGCCTCCCTGTTGCGCCCCTGGTCTGGTCTGGACCTCGGTGTGCTGCTTCCCCTCTCCTTCCTCCCACGAAGTACCAAGCCCTGTCTGGACCCTGGTGTGGGAGACCCCGAACCTGGAGAGGGGCTGACGTCTGGGTCTGGACTGGAGCCGCTGACCGGAGCTGGACCGGGCACCGGTGGAGCGGACTGCACAGGCTCCGGACTGGAGCCGCTGACCGGAGCTGGACTAGGCACCGGTGGAGCGGACTGCTCTGGCTCCGGAGTGGAGCCGCTGACCAGAGCTGGATCAGGCATCGGTGGAGCGGACTACTCTGGCTCCGGAGTGGAGCAGCTGACCGGAGCTAAACTGGGCACCGGTGGAGCGGACTTCTCTGGCTCCGGAGTGGATCCGCTGATCGGAGCTGGACTGGACCCCGGTGGAGCGGATTGCTCTGGCTCCGGAGTGGAGCAGCTGACCGGAGCTGAACTGGGCACCGGTGGAGCGGACTACTCTGGCTCCGGAGTGGAGCAGCTGACCTGTGCCGGACCAGGCACCGGTGGAACAGGCACGGGCCGTGCCGGACTGGACACACTTACCATTGGCTTGGTGCGGAGAGCAGGAACGGGCCGGACCGGGCTGACGACGCGCACCACTGGCCTGGTGCGGGGAACAGGTACAGGCCGGGCTGGGCTGGCGACGCGCACCACTGGCTTGGTGCGAGGGGCAGGAACAGGCCGGGCCGGGCTGGCGACGCGCACCACTGGCTTGGTGCGAGGGCCAGGAACAGGCCGGGCCGGGCTGGCGACGCGCACCACTGGCTTAGTGCGAGGGACAGGAACAGGCCGGACCGGGCTGGCGACGCGCACCACTGGCTTGGTGCGAGGGGCAGGAACAGGCCGGGCCGGGCTGGCGACGCGCACCACTGGCTTGGTGCGAGGGGCAGGAACAGGCCGGGCCGGGCTGGCGACGCACACCACTGGCTTGATGCGAGGAGCAGGCACGGGCCGGACCGTACTGGGAACACACACCACTGGTTTACTGCGGGGAGCAGGAACGGGTCGGGCCGTACTGGACACACTTACCACTGGCTTGGTGCGGGGAGCAGGACGGGCCGGACCGGGCTGATGACGCGCACCACTGGCCTGGTGCGGGGAGCAGGTACAGGCCGGGCCGGGCTGGCGACGCGCACCACTGGCTTGGTGCGAGGGGCAGGAACATGCCGGGCCGGGCTGGCGACGCGCACCACTTCCTTGGTGCGAGGGGCAGGAACAGGCCGGGCCGGGCTGGCGACGCGCACCACTAGCTTGGTGCGAGGGGCAGGAACAGGCCGGACCGGGCTGGCGACGCGCACCACTGGTTTGGTGCGAGGAGCAGGAACAGGCCGGGCTGGGCTGGCGACGCGCACCACTGGCTTGGTGCGAGGGACAGGAACAGGCCGGACCGGGCTGGCGACGTGCACCACTGGCTTGGTGCGAGGGACAGGAACAGGCCGTACCGGGCTGGCGACGCGCACCACTGGCTTAGTGCGAGGGGCAGGAACAGGCCGGACCGGGCTGGCGACGCGCACCACTGGCTTGATGCGAGGAGCAGGAACGGGCCGGACCGTACTGGGAACACACACCACTGGCTTAGTGCGGGGAGCAGGAAACGGGTCGGGCCGTACTGGGAACACGCACCACTGGCTTAGTGCGGGGAGCAGGAACGGGCCGGACCGGACTGGTGACACGCACCACATCTTTCTGCTGCCTAACCAGCTCCTCTCGCCGTGCCTCTACACCTTCCTTCTCCCTTTTTGCCTCCTGTAGCTCCTCCCTCTGACGGAATAACTCCTGCTCCCTCTGAACCAATAGCCCCCGTAACATGGTGGCCTCCTCTCCTAACCTGCAGATCCGCCCTGTCGCTGCCTCCTGCTGCCTCGTCGTCCACACCGTGTGCCCCCCCAAAACATTTTCTTGGGGTTGCCTCTCGGGTCTCCGTCGTCGGCACGGTTGGCGCCGTTTCTCCTCTCCTGCCTGGGCATCTACCTTCGCCCATGGCCCTTTCCCCGCAAATATCTCCTCCCATGACCACCATTTGCCCACCTGTGACATCGCTATTCGCTCTTCCTGGTTACGCTGCTTGGTCCTCGTGTGGTGGGATCTTCTGTCACGATCGCTTACAGACGGGACGGACCAAGGCGCAGCGTGATATGCATACATGTTTATTAACGAATAAACACAACGACCAAAACAATAAACAAACGATACGTGAAGTCCAAAGGCAGCGCAACACAACATACCTTAACACGGAACAAGATCCCACAACTAACTAGTGCCAAAAGGCTGCCTAAGTATGGTCCCCAATCAGAGACAACGAGCGACAGCTGCCTCTGATTGGGACCCACACCCGGCCAACATAGAAATAGACATACTAGATACTACACCATAGAAAATCAACATAGCAAAACACAACACAGAAAATACACACCCTGACTCAACAAATACGAGTCCCCAGAGTCAGGGCGTGACAGGGTCCAAACACCAGGAAGTTAGAGAGGGACCAAACACCAGGAAGTAACCGCTTCACCAGACTCAGGCACTCAAGGGTACTTTTATGTAATTTAGCCGCATTGTAGTGTTTTAGCCATATACACTGCTCAAAAAAATAAAGGGAACACTAAAATAACACATCCTAGATCTGAATGAATGAAATAATCTTATTAAATACTTTTTTCTTTACATAGTTGAATGTGCTGACAACAAAATCACACAAAAATTATGAATGGAAATCAAATGTATCAACCCATGGAGGTCTGGATTTGGAGTCACCCTCAAAATTAAAGTGGAAAACCACACTACAGGCTGATCCAACTTTGATGTAATGTCCTTAAAACAAGTCAAAATGAGGCTCAGTAGTGTGTGTGGCCTCCACGTGCCTGTATGACCTCCCTACAACGCCTGGGCATGCTCCTGATGAGGTGGCGGATGGTCTCCTGAGGGATCTCCTCCCAGACCTGGACTAAAGCATCCACCAACTCCTGGACAGTCTGTGGTGCAACATGGCGTTGGTGGATGGAGCGAGACATGATGTCCCAGATGTGCTCAATTGGATTCAGGTCTGGGGAACGGGCGGGCCAGTCCATAGCATCAATGCCTTCCTCTTGCAGGAACTGCTGACACACTCCAGCCACATGAGGTCTAGCATTGTCTTGCATTAGGAGGAACCCAGGGCCAACCGCACCAGCATATGGTCTCACAAGGGGTCTGAGGATCTCATCTCGGTACCTAATGGCAGTCAGACTACCTCTGGCGAGCACATGGAGGGCTGTGCGGCCCCCCCAAAGAAATGCCACCCCACACCATGACTGACCCACCGCCAAACCGGTCATGCTGGAGGATGTTGCAGGCAGCAGAACGTTCTCCACGGCGTCTCCAGACTCTGTCACGTCTGTCACATGTGCTCAGTGTGAACCTGCTTTCATCTGTGAAGAGCACAGGGCGCCAGTGGCGAATTTGCGAATCTTGGTGTTCTATGGCAAATGCCAAACGTCCTGCATGGTGTTGGGCTGTAAGCACAACCCCCACCTGTGGACGTCGGGCCCTCATACCACCCTCATGGAGTCTGTTTCTGACCGTTTGAGCAGACACATGCACATTTGTGGCCTGCTGGAGGTCATTTTGCAGGGCTCTGGCAGTGCTCCTCCTGCTCTTCCTTGCACAAAGGCGGAGGTAGCAGTCCTGCTGCTGGGTTGTTGCCCTCCTACGGCCTCCTCCACGTCTCCTGATGTACTGGCCTGTCTCCTGGTAGCGCCTCCATGCTCTGGACACTACGCTGACAGACACAGCAAACCTTCTTGCCACAGCTCGCATTGATGTGCCATCCTGGATGAGCTGCACTACCTGAGCCACTTGTGTGGGTTGTAGACTCCGTCTCATGCTACCACTAGAGTGAAAGCACCGCCAGCATTCAAAAGTGACCAAAACATCAGCCAGGAAGCATAGGAACTGAGAAGTGGTCTGTGGTCACCACCTGCAAAACCAGTCCTTTATTGGGGGTTTCTTGCTAATTGCCTATAATTTCTACCTGTTGTCTATTCCATTTGCACAACAGCATGTGAAATGCTGTCCTCTGCTCTTGTCCTTCTAGACCTGTCTGCTGCCTTTGATACTGTGAACCATCAGATCCTCCTCTCCACCCTCTCCGAGCTGGGCATCTCCGGCGCGGCTCACTCCTGGATTGCGTCCTACCTGACCGGTCGCTCCTACCAAGTGGCGTGGCGAGAAGCTGTCTCCGCACCACGTGCTCTCACCACTGGTGTCCCCCAGGGCTCAGTCCTAGGCCCTCTCCTTTTTCTCCCTATACACCAAGTCACTTGGCTCTGTCATATCCTCACATGGCCTCTCCTATCATTGCTACGCTGACGATACACAACTAATCTTCTCCTTTCCCCCTTCTGATAACCAGGTGGCGAATCGCATCTCTGCATGTCTGGCAGACATATCAGTATGGATGACGGATCACCACCTCAAGCTGAACCCTGGCAAGACGGAGCTGCTCTTCCTCCCGGGGAAGGACTGCCCGTTCCATGATCTCGCCATCACGGTTGACAACTCCGCTGTGTCCTCCTCCCAGAGTGCGAAGAGCCTAGGCGTGACCCTGGACAACACCCTGTCGTTCTCCGCCAACATCAAGGCGGTGACCCGCTCCTGCAGGTTCATGCTCTACAACATTCGGAGAGTACGACCCTGCCTTACACAGGAAGCGGCACAGGTCCTAATCCAGGCACTTGTCATCTCCCGTCTGGACTACTGCAACTCGCTGTTGGCTGGCCTCCCTGCCTGTGCCATTAAACCCCTACAACTCATCCAGAATGCCGCAGCCCGTCTGGTGTTCAACCTTGCCAAGTTCTCTCACGTCACCCCCCTCCTCCGCACACTCCACTGGCTTCCAGTTGAAGCTCGCATCCGCTACAAGACCATGGTGCTTGCCTATGGAGCAGTGAGGGGAACGGCACCTCTGTACCTTCGGGCTCTGATCAGTCCCTACACCCAAACGAGGGCATTGCGTTCATCCACCTCTGGCCTGCTGGCTCCCCTTCCTCTGCGGAAGCATAGTTCCCGCTCAGCCCAGTCAAAACTGTTCGCTGCTCTGGCACCCCAATGGTGGAACAAGCTCCCTCACGACGCCAGGACAGCGGAGTCACTCACCACCTTCCGGAGGCATTTGAAACCCCACCTCTTTAAGGAATACCTGGGATAGGATAAAGTAATCCTTTTTTGAGCAGTGTATATTGCATGGCCTTTACAACCTGGCAACCTGAAATATTTTGGCATTATTTATTTATGAATATATAGCCAGTGTCATCTCATTGGCCCAGAGACACTGGAGTGTGTTGCGGTGGCATGTTCCTATTGGATGAGTGGCTGAGACGTGATGCAGTGGCATGTTCTCATTGGCTCGAGAGGCACCACGTGTTATGCGCTGTCATGTTGGGCGAGATATATTCTGTTCTGGTGTATTTTGTTTGCTGAGGAGGGAGACTGTATATGTGTGTGTGTGTGCATGCGTGCGTGCGTGCGTGTGTGTGACTCTGAGTGTGTGAGTCTGGGTGTGTGAGGGCCAGGAAGCAGAGTGCTGTCAGATTTCCTTAGTGGAATGTGTTCCCATGGGGCTTTCTGTGACCCAGATATCAGCCTGTGTCTGTGTAGGTTAGGTCTGGAGGAGATGAGAGTGGGGAGGGGAGGGGAGGGGACAGACTGGACCAAAGATGTGTGGTATCCAAAATCAGTAGCATCCCCCTCTCTGTCCCCTATGGGGAGAGACACTAGGGATAGCAGGAGAGAAAAAGAGAGAGTGAGAGAAGAGAGGGTGTGTGTGCTTGCATGGCAACAGAAATAGACTAATGGCTTCATCCTCATGACCAATGAGCAACGAGTGGCTTCAGGTAGAACCTCTAGGCAGTGGGCACAGATCTAGGATCAGCTTATCATCCTGCAATCATAACCTTTAACTGTAGAGGGATAAACACAAAGTTGACCTTTGGTCAGTGTTTTAGCTCAACTTAATTCTAAATTACTCCTGAAGAGTGTCTCAGATTGGGGTCAATTCCATTTCAATTCAGTACATTTCGGGAAGGAAACAGACATTTCAAATTGACTGAATTGAATTTGAATTGAGCACAACCCTGTCGTGGAGAAGGTGATTCCTGTCCCTTCCCTCTCTCATGTTAATGTATTGTTGCTGTTCCTCAGGTGGCCTGGGGGAGGCAGTGTGCTCAGCGGTGGTGAACGAGCAGGGCTTCACCCTGCAGCGGCTGGCCGTGGCCCACGTTCCCCGCAGCGGCAAGCCCAGCGAGCTGCTCAAGATCTACGGCATCGACCGCGAAGCCATTTGCCAGGCCATCAGGAAGATGCTCAGTGGCTCTGCCAACGCCAAGTAGCTCCACCCCTTCCTGCCTAAGCCCCACCTGCCCCCATTCTACCACCCCTCAGATAAACGTTTCATGTCACGACGCCACCCCGCCTGGTAACCTCACCCCCTCACTGTGAAAGTCCACCCCCTATGTGTTTACTGAAGTAACGTGAGTTTGTGCTGTATGTACATTTTGAAGTAACTGTCAAACATTTCACTTTTTTCCCTCATACACACACACACACACACACACACATGCATACAGTACACACACAACTCCACTCCCACTTCCTGGTAACCATGGGTCATCACAGGGTCAAGGGGTCAAGTTTTGAAATTAAAGTGAGAGGTAGTTATTGATCCTCAAACCCGGTAGGCAGGTGTAGATGGACATTCTCCATACCAAAGAATCCAATAAAGACTATACATGTTGTGACCCAATGCAGGTACCTTTATGTGATGCTCATGTGTTTTTAAAACTCTTCCTCTTTGATATTTTCAACCCCAAACAACCAGCAGCAGTCTATTTTAATACTTTTATATTGTTCTGATGACGTAGCTTTGAAGACAGGGTGGGGCATTTGGTAGTGAAATGTAGGCGTCGTCTCCATGACAACTCTCTGAAAATATAATGTTTGTAGAACGTAGTCCAATAAAAAAAGATCAAATAGAAATGTATGTGGGCCACAAATATCAGTGAAGTGAAAAGTCCATACAGTTTGACCCATATGTCTCTCTATACCACCACACACAGCTTGTACTGGACAGCTCATGTTAGCACAGCACACATGTTCGTTTTAAACTTCCTTTCATCTCTACAGATCAGGCATAGACTAGCTAAACATATGGAGTCAGATAAATGCCAAAATGTTGTGCGTTCAACCTTTGGCAGATATCTAACTCCATATGAACACCTTTTACCTGGAAGAGCAAACCAGCAGAAGTACGTTAGCCCGAGCTGTCTGAATATACCAATAATGTTTCTATGACATTTACATTTTTGTCATTTAGCAGATGCTCTAATCCAGAGCGATTTACAGGAGCGGGACCAGTGTGTCCACTATAGCAAATAGTTTGACTTGGAGGTAAGGGAGAGGGACACAGGGCCAGCTAGGACTTAGAGCAGGATTGGGGTGAATTCCATTTTAATTCAGTCAATTCAGGAAGTAAATTGAAATGGAATTGATCCTAACCCTGGATTAGTCTCTGTGCTCTGTGCTTGTGGCCATGGTGATGTTGGGAGCATGCTGTTACATCTGAACTGTGAACCTAGTACAAACACCTCCTTCGTTACTTGAACTTTTGTATGTACCTTACACTTTAATGTATTAAAGCCCTCTGCATTTGAGTTTGAGAGTTTGCAAGTAGTTCTGTGTGTTTTTTGACTGTGTATCTCTGAGTGTTCTGTATGTGTGCATGCATATTATAGCGTGTAGATCTATTGAAAAAGGCAGGTTGGTGTATTTGCTTATTCAAAACATTTTGAAAGTTTTTATTAGAATATTCTACATGGAAGACTTTAACCAAAGCGTACATTTTCAATAGATACAACTAATATAAAACAATATGAAGAGTTTCATTACAAAACACTATATATACATTTTCAGAAATGTTGGTAAATTAGCTTTTATTGTTATTAAAGAGATTGGTGTGTTTTTTCACTATCTAATCATGGCATGGGGCTGTTCCATGACAGACACGTACAGTATCTGTTTAAAATCATCACTTGATGGTTTCATTTCAGAGAGACAAATAATCATGTTTTTTTGCTAAATGCTAAAAATCTATACAGTAATATGAGATCTGTATGTAAAACATTTACATTTGACATTTTAGTCATTTAGCAGATGGTCATATCCAGAGCGACTTACAGTACTGTAAGTGCATTCATCTTAAGATAGCTAGGTGATTTAAGCATGTATCACAGTCAAATATACAGGATACAAACATTTTTTTTATTTTATTTTTATTTTATTTTTGCATTCCAGCAAAACAATGGATATATAGCTTTTTGCAAAAAAACACATTTTCATACACATCTAAAATCTATTAATTAAAAATCTGAGAACAGTAATATTTTACATACACATGAAGGTACCCATAAGCAATAATTTCTGATGAAAAAACACAAATGTGAAACATTGGTGGATATAGCATTTTTGAAATAAACTCTTCATATTATAAACTTCATAGGAGATATTTTCATGATAGAAAATAGTTCAAATCAGTGTAAAAAAAGTAATACATTTTTAAATGTATTTTGTAGTGTGTCACAGTTTGAATAGGATTATAATATAATTTAAGTACAGTTTTCCAATTTTCCATTTGATCAAAACCAGTACCAATAGAGTATAAAGATTTGATCGTGAAAGATTCTGACAGATGACCGAGCAGAGTTGGTCCATCGGTCACCATGGTTATGCTGAGATCCTATCAGCAGACAGATCTCAGGTCGTGAGATCTGTTCATCCAATGGCAGCTCTGCAATGTGACCTTGTAGGTAGCACAGTAAATGCCACTGCCCATTCTACTTAGGGTTCTACAGTTTTGCCACCTGGGTCACCACCTTGCTATTATTTCCCTGGACAAAACAAACAGTGCATCATATTTACATTTTAGTAATTTAGCAGACATTCTTTTCCAGAGCAACTTACAGGAGCAATTAGGGTTAAGTGCCTTGCTCAAGGGCACAGACAGATTTGTCACCTAGTCGAATAAAGGATTCGAAATAGCAACCTTTTGGTTACTGGCCCAACGCTTTTAACCGCTAGGCTACCTGTCACCACATTTTACAATATTATTTAGATAGGATGACTGTGATATCTGGTTGTTTTCCCTACTAAACTTAGTAAGTCGCTCTGGATAAGATGTAAATGTAGAGAAGACAAGTTCAGTTCGTTAAATGTTCCATTTAGCAGACTATTTTGTCAATGATACCACAGCATATACAGTGTAACACTGTGTAGTGCACAGTCTATAGTGTAAGCACTTTCTTGTACAGAATAACATCCTGCATCACAAGCGTCTGTCAATTCACATGAGTTATGGGAGCTTTCATTGTGCACTAGACAGCTGTGTTATATACAGTAGGTCTGTGGACAGTTACCTACCATAGGGAGCTGTATTTTCGCTTGGCTCCTCAAACTGCAAACACCATGATTCCACATTCATAAGAGTGTGTAGACTGAGGGGAAATAATAATTTACATTAAAATTAGACTCAAGAGTGAGTTCAACATGATTACATTTGTATTACATTATTACAATCATATTACACTGTATTCATCACAATTACTTCAATGAATAATCATTGGTACCATGATATGAGGGAAGGTTTAAAACAGCCACAAACAGAGCAACACACAAGACCCCAGTAGGCGTCTGAGAAGAGATTAATATGATGTGGGTTATTAAAGATACTAGGAAGGTAAAACACGGAATTAGTTATTGTTGCATTCATAACAAATGTAGTTTTGTTGAAGTTCATTATGGATGTGAATGAGAGGTTTGGACATCCTGTAGTTCTGTATTTGGGATGGACTTTAGTGTGAGAGTTAGTATATGAAATGCAGTACCTCTGCTATGATAGGGATGGCCTTAGCATCTTTTAGTGTGAGCTGGCAGATCTGAGATGGAATGTATTGTGTTATTTCTCATTGTCATTGACTAGTAAGCCATTACACACACAAGACTATACACAGGATGTGAGTAAGACCTTTAAACAGGTCAACATTCACAAGGCCGCAGGGCCAGACGGATTACCAGGACGTGTACTCAGAGCATGCGCTGACCAACTGGCAAGTGTCTTCAATGACATTTTCAACCTGTCCCTGACTGAGTCTGTAATACCAACATGTTTCAAGCAGCCTTTGATATTATTGACCATAACCTGTTGTTGAAAAAACGTATGTGTTATGGCTTTTCAACCTCTGCCATATCGTGGATTCAGAGCTATCTATCTAATAGAACTCAAAGGGTTTTCTTTAATGGAAGCTTCTCTAATGTCAAACATGTAAAGTGTGGTGTACCACATGGCAGCTCCCTAGGCCCTCCACTCTTTTCTATTTTTACCAATGACCTGCCACTGGCATTAAACAAAGCATGTGTGTACATGTATGCTGATGACTCAACCATACAGTGAGGGAAAAAAGTATTTGATCCCCTGCTGATTTTGTACGTTTGCCCACTGACAAAGAAATGATCAGTCTATAATTTTAATGGTAGGTTTATTTGAACAGTGAGAGAAAGAATAACAACAAAAAAATCCAGAAAAACGCATGTCAAAAATGTTATAAATTGATTTGCATTTTAATGAGGGAAATAAGTATTTGACCCCTCTGCAAAACATGACTTAGTACTTGGTGGCAAAACCCTTGTTGGTAATCACAGAGGTCAGGCGTTTCTTGTAGTTGGCCACCAGGTTTGCACACATCTCAGGAGGGATTTTGTCCCACTTGCAGATCTTCTCCAAGTCATTAAGGTTTCGAGACTGACGTTTGGCAACTCGAACCTTCAGCTCCCTCCACAGATTTTCTATGGGATTAAGGTCTGGAGACTGGCTAGGCCACTCCAGGACCTTAATGTGCTTCTTCTTGAGCCACTCCCTTGTTGCCTTGGTCGTGTGTTTTGGGTCATTGTTATGCTGGAATACCCATCCACGACCCATTTTCAATGCCCTGGCTGAGGGAAGGAGGTTCTCACCCAAGATTTGACGGTACATGGCCCCGTCCATCGTCCCTTTGATGCGGTGAAGTTGTCCTGTCCCCTTAGCAGAAAAACACCCCCAAAGCATAATGTTTCCACCTCCATGTTTGATGGTGGGGATGGTGTTCTTGGGGTCATAGGCAGCATTCCTCCTCCTCCAAACACGACGAGTTGAGTTGATGCCAAAGAGCTCGATTTTGGTCTCATCTGACCACAACACTTCCACCCAGTTCTCCTCTGAATCATTCAGATGTTCATTGGCAAACTTCAGACGGGCCTGTATATGTGCTTTCTTGAGCAGGGGGACCTTGCGGGCGCTGCAGGATTTCAGTCCTTCACGGCGTAGTGTGTTACCAATTGTTTTCTTGGTGACTATGGTCCCAGCTGCCTTGAGATCATTGACAAGATCCTCCCGTGTAGTTCTGGGCTGATTGCTCACCGTTCTCATGATCATTGCAACTCCACGAGGTGAGATCTTGCATGGAGCCCCAGGCCGGGGGAGATTGACAGGTCTTTTGTGTTTCTTCCATTTGCGAATAATCGCACCAACTGTTGTCACCTTCTCACCAAGCTGCTTGGCGATGGTCTTGTAGCCCATTCCAGCCTTGTGTAGGTCTACAATCTTGTCCCTGACATCCTTGGAGAGCTCTTTGGTCTTGGCCATGGTGGAGAATCTGATTGATTGATTGATTGCTTCTATGGCCAGGTGTCTTTTATACAGGTAACAAGCTGAGATTAGGAGCACTCCCTTTAAAAGTGTGCTCCTAATCTCAGCTCGTTACCTGTATAAAAGACACCTGGGAGCCAGAAATCTTTCTGATTGAGAGGGGGTCAAATACTTATTTCCCTCATTAAAATGAAAATCAATTTATAACATTTTTGACATGCGTTTTTCTGGATTTTTTTGTTGTTATTCTGTCTCTCACTGTTCAAATAAACCTCCCATTAAAATGATAGACTGATCATTTCTTTGTCAGTGGGCAAACGTACAAAATCAGCAGGGGATCAAATACTTTTTTCCCTCACTGTATACGCATCAGCAACCACAGCTAATGAAGTCACTGAAACCCTTAACAAAGAGTTGCAGTCTGTTTTGGAATGGGTGGCCACTAATAAA